TGTCCCTGTAAGTGGAAATGGGTCTGTGTCCCTGTAAGTGGGAGTGGTTCTGTGTCCCTGTAAGTGGAAATGGATCTGTGTCCCTTTAAGTGGGAGTGGGTCTGTGCCCCTGTAAGCAGGAGTGGGTCTGTGTCCCTGTAAGTTGGAGTAGGTCTGTGTCCCTGTAAGTGAAAGTGGGTCTGTGTCCCTGCAAGTTGGAGTGGATCTGTGCCCCTCTAAGTGGGAGTGGGTCTGTGTCCCTTTAAGTGGGAGTGGGTCTGTGCCCATGTAAGCAGGAGTGGGTTTGTGTCCCTGTAAGTTGGAGTAGGTCTGTGTCCCTGTAAGTGAAAGTGGGTCTGTGTCCCTGCAAGTTGGAGTGGATCTGTGCCCCTCTAAGTGGGAGTGGGTCTGTGTCCCTGTAAGTGTGAGTGGTTCTCTCCCTGTACGTGGGTCTACGTTCCTGTATGTTTGAGTGGGTGTGTCCCTGTAAGTTGGAGTGGATCTGTGCCCCTGTACATGGGAGTGGGTCTACGTCCCTGTAAGATTAGAGTATGAAGTAAAAAAATATGGGAAGGATTAAAGGATGGAGTGAAACATATGGCAAGGATTTATGTAAGTGGGCGTGGGTCTGTGTCCGTGTAAGTAAGAGTGGGTCCATGTCCCTGTAAGTGAGAGTGGATCTGTGTCCCTGTAAGTGGGAGTGGGTCCATGTCCTTGTAAGTGGGAGTGGGTCTATGTCCCTGTACGTGGGATTGGAAATGATGACGCAATAAACGATGAACACGCTGAACGCAACAAACACAGGACACGCCTAGAACACAGCAGTTTTACTGTTGTGGACTTACTGTTAAACTGACACCGATTAACGCTGACCCTAACCCTAAACAGCCTTTACTTTATAATATTCTGGCAAACTCCCTATGAATTCCCTACAAAATCTTGCAGTCAACGGGATGCGGTGAAAAGGCTGAAAAGAATCCTGATGTACACCAATCCTAAATCCCATAAGATGAACACCAATTCCCTTTTGCAAAAGCTTTAAACCAGCGAACAACTCGATTCCTTATAGTTCTACAATACCACCACCAACAACAACAACAACAATCCTTACTACAACAACAATGTCACTTGATAGATGCGGAGGGACCTGAAGATGTTTGCCAACACCAAGCTAGAAGACTCTCCTCTCCATATTTCATAAATGATTACCTTAAGCAACTGGTATTTGTTTCTCCAACCACCGATTCCCTAATGCCCATACTCGGATACCGGATGTCAAGATAACGAGAGAACTTAAGGATGGTTGGGAAATCACAAAGTTGGACATCTGAGCTCGTTCACTGATGCTGTGAGCCTGCTCTCCGGGACAGGAAATCAATGAGACCTCAAGTGGTCCCAGGAGGTGTTTTGTGGGCTGCGTTAGAAGCCACGGGAATAGTGTTACCATGTAAATATAAGCATGACGTAGTGTCGTCAGTTAGCCCGGCAGGTCGGGTGGCTGTGACTAAGCGCGTAATACTGATGAGTTCTTTCCAAGTGGGTTTTGCAGAATCCCATTTGGAGGGTCGAAAAGGGCGGGGGAGGGGGGAATAGACCCACTCCCAATTACAAAGCACGTGCAAAAGACGACAAGTAAGTAGTTTGGTGAACCAGGCCGAAAGGCGCAGATATCGCAGTCTAGCTTAAACAACAAAACAGCAGGTCAAACGTCCCTATAAAGGCGAATGCAAATGAAGAAGAAAAGCCTGTGTGTTCTCTGTGCTGCGGGTCTCAAGACTTCACTGTCCCTAAACCGTCCTAGAAGTGTTCCATAGTTGTGAATACCTGCTCCCTAGTTGTGAATACCTGCTCCCTAGTTGTGAATACCTGCTCCTTAGTTGTGAATACCTGCTCCTTAGTTGTGAATACCTGCTCCCTAGTCGTGAATACCTTCTCCCTAGTCATGAATACCTGTTCCCTAATCGTGAATACCTGTTCCCTAGTCGTGAATACCTGCTCCCTAGTCGTGAATACCTGTTCCCTAGTCGTGAATACCTGTTCCCTAGTCGTGAATACCTGCTCCCTAGTCGTGAATACCTGTTCCCTAGTCGTGAATACCTGTTCCCTAGTCGTGAATACCTGCTCCCTAGTCGTGAATACCTGTTCCCTAGTCGTGAATACCTGTTCCCTAGTCGTGAATACCTGCTCCCTAGTCGTGAATACCTTCTCCCTAGTTGTGAATACCTGCTCCCTAGTCGTGAATACCTTCTCCCTAGTCGTGAATACCTGTTCCCTAGTCGTGAATACCTGTTCCCTAGTCGTGAATACCTTCTCCCTAGTCGTGAATACCTGCTCCCTAGTCGTGAATACCTGTTCCCTAGTCGTGAATACCTGTTCCCTAGTCGTGAATACCTGTTCCCTAGTCATAAATAATGTGAGTCATGTCACTAGAAGAAAATCTCAACTTTTGACCTGAAATGCTACAGAAAAATTACTAGAATACCGTGACCAAGAAGAAAGAAAACGTCGACATCCTGCATGACCTGGTCACCAAGGAGAACTGACCCGTGAACAGCATCCTTTCCCTGGAGCTGGGGTATTTTGGACATGACACTCGTCATGTTAGCCTGGAGAGAATGGTGATGGAGGGTGCAGTTTCCGGAAAACAAGGCATAGGCAGACCACAGAGAAGGTGGCTATAGGACATTGAAGATGCATTGGTTATGAAAGGAAGAGGGCTGGAGAACTGGCTAGAGAATGATAGATTTCCAGGCTAAGTTCTGTAAAGGACTTGCGTATTGACTGATCCACTAAGTGACTGATTGAGCTGTGAATCAGTGTTCCTATTCATGAATACACAGAAACAAGAAGAGCCACAATGAGTTGTCTACATAATAAGAGGATCGCCATCGTTGCTGTAGTGATCATAATCATCATTAAATGTTTCTGCTAAGATTACTGACATCTAGAGAAAGAAAGACTGAGGAGGAGACTCCAGGCAACGCAAGAATGTCCAACGGTCCGGTCATCAAGACACGAGTAAAGATTTACCAAATAAACGAAGGAGGAATCAGACTCCTGGACTTGTCGAGAACCAAAATAACCAGATACCTGGAGACTTCACTGGGGATAGGAAGCATATGCAGAATCAGAAAGACACAAGAGGGTGTGATCGTTACACTGAATGAAACAAAACAGACGAAGAGAATGACTGAGGACATTGGTATACAGCCTACAATAGAAATACAGCTACCGGAAAAGATACTGGTTGCAGCCAAGATGTTTCAAGAGATCCAAAAAAGGGGGGTCAAGACAGTGAATACCAAATGGTCAAACCATGAGATCGAAGAACACTTGAGGAGAGAAAATGCAAAGATGAGTATAAGCAGAGCAGAGAGAATCGTATCCAAAGACATGAAATCAACAGTAGCAGTGGTAACAACAGAAAGTGAGAGTATGCTAGAAACAGTTAAGCTTGATAATAAACTACAGAAACCAGAGATATATATCCCAGGGGGTACTCCAATGTTCCAGATGCCAAAAGGTATTTCATACCAAGTCAGTGTGCCGCAGCAAAACAGAGATTTGCAGATATTGTGCTGACTCTCACTCCTATAATGAGTGTCCATTAGCAAAGCAAGATAAAAATTATCAAAAATCAAAAAGCAATCAACGATGCAGCAACTGTTTTGGACAGCACAGGGTGAGGTATTTTGGATGTCCTTATCTGCAACATTGCCAGGAGATCCTCAAGATAGCAATTACTGAGAGAGTACCATGCAAAGAAGCCAGAAGAAGATGCAAAGAATCCGAATACTTCACCCCAGTGGAGAAATCCAGGATGCAAAATCAGATCAGAAAGTTAGAAGAAGAGGTCAAGATATTAAAGGCAAATATGTTGACTCCAGAAAAAAACATGCCAGAAATTAATGACCAAGCAAGACAGATACTTGCAGAGATGAAGGAGATGAGAGAGATATTGGACTACAATATAAAGACACTGAATGACATAAAAGCAGAAACAATAGCAGCACTACAGGAATTGCAGAAAAAGCAGGATGAAAGCCGTGAACAGCTCCAAGCAACCCCAAATAGACCAAGACAACAGCGAAAAGCCAATAGATGATAAACTAAAAGAAAAGAAACATCGCTGAAAGAGTCTACTGGCAAGCAGTAAGAACTTGAAGACAAACACAATGCAGAAATGAACAGAAGGTTTCCACCAGGAAGCATCAAAACCAAAGAAGACCGAAGAAAACAAGCTCAATACGAAAAGAGACTGAGGGAAGAGATGAGAGAGAGGACAGAGAAGACAACATCCACAGACACCTACCAGCCAGACCCAAAACGTCAAACAACACAGAGGACGCCAGACAAAGATGAGAAGGAGAAAAACACCAGCAAATATGGAAAGACAAAATTTCATAAAAGTCCTTGTAAGGACTAAGCATTATTACAGCCTAGGAGCCAAGACAGAGCGGAAAAACGTGACAGGAAGAATAGAAGCCAGAAACAACCAATCAGAAAATAGGAATCACAAGACGACGAGAGGATAGGACAGAACCAAAATGCAAAATTCAGATGGGTCCTAACATAATCAGGAACGAAACAAAGAGACACAATTAAGAAATAGAAGACCCTTGCCTCCGGATACAACAACATCAGGTATAAAACAACTCTATACAAGGAAGAAGCAACATCAATTAAACCGTTTAGAACAACATAACAAAATGGAACTTAAGGAACCCATATTCAAACAAACCATACTCAATAAAGATCGCAACTATAGGCATCAGCTACACAGCTGAAAATGTCTGAACGAGATCGAATTATCTTTTTCTTTTACAAGAAGCAAGCAAGCAAGCACTCTGTCATGAACAATGACTCACTAACCCTCTGCGTCTGATATAAAAACATGACCCAACGATCCGTGGTGTCTGACATAAAACAAAGATCCTGACTCCGACATAACCAACCACCTTCTGACCCATGACTCTGGCATAAATAATGACCTATTCAGTGACCCACACTAACCCACTCACCTTCTTAACATACTGTGCAGCATCTTCCTCTTTATAAACCTCTGCCGATACAGCGCCTCGCCGCACACGCGTGGTCATTACGGGATGAGGTGGTGTCCCAGACATCTCTTCCTCCTTCTCATCGCTAGGCGGAGGGGTAGATTTGTTCTTCTTCTGCTTGGCGGTGTTCTCCTGAGAACCCAGAAAACATGTGGACATGTAGAGAATTCAATCACAGACAAATATACAAATCAATCACAAATATAGAAATCAATCACAAATACACAAATCAAGCACATACAAATGTACTGGAGCTGGATGGTAGGAAAGATAGAAACACATTTACTTCTACTTCTTACTCTTTCCTTCTTTTTTGAGTTTGTCATAAAGAATACAGTTGGCAGGTCATGTTGTGGTTTACAGCTAGGCTGTGAGATGCACCTTTCAGCCCAGCGAATTCAGTTTCACTAAATCAATTATCTCCTTTTAAGACAACCCTGAAACACTGGCTCTTCTGCTTGACAGCGTACTCCTGACTACCAGAAAACATGAGGACAGGTGCAGAAATCAATGACAACGAAGCTACATCAGCTGGCTCGCAAAAACACACACACACACACACATACACACACAAACACACACACAAACACAAACACGCACACACATACACACATACACGCACACACACACATACACGCACACACACACGCACATACACGCGCACACACACACACACATAGACACACACACAAAAACAAGAAAAATATTTTTTTTTAAACTCTTTCATCCCCATGTGGGTTGCAAAGCCCCATTTTTTACCACGGGGGGAGGGGGGGGGGGGGGGGGAGGAGAGAACATACTACTTCCCCTGACAAGCATGTCAGCTAACTAATTAGAGGTGTTTCTTGCAGAGTCGGAGTACATAATCCTGACAGGCGGATGAACCAACTCAAGTCCCAGATAACAGACACAAGAATAACATAGGCAGATAGAAAAATAAACCACGCAGACCTTCTGGAGATAGATGAGAAATCGTTAAATGATTAGACAAATTAGACGCAGGCAGAGTTTTTTCTGGACAAATAAAGGGAAGGCGTTTGTGGTCTAGGCGCTGCGAATGCGCTTCGTAGTGCTGGGTTCGATCCCAACTGCTGACCATTTGGAGTTGACCGTTGAAAGCACTAGCAAACTACTGAATATACAATTTGTCTAGAAAAACCACAACAGTAAAAAATGTTGGAGTTGGGTTCTGCGACGTCCTGTAAAGGATACGTAACTAACTTTTTAATGAGAAGGAGTGGAGTGGAGAACTTGGTAGCAACTGGCAAGATTGATGAGAAAAAAAGCAAAAGGAAGGCAAAGAGATAAATGCCTAAATGGCTTTCCCACAAGGATATAGCGAGAGAAGAACACTGACCTAATCCATGATTCTGGTGATCATGTGAAACGGCAAAACATGACAGTCCATACTTATCTACACAGCACATGGCTTTATTATTATTATTATTATTATTATTATTATTATTATTATTATTATTATTATTATTATTATTCGCCTTCACACAATGTAAACTCCAGCAGAAAGTCCTGGTAGTTGGTTCGTATCTGTCCTAAGGTTCTGTTCGAGGACTTCAGTGTTGCGTGTATATCCTTGTCACAGATCTAGCTTATTTCCGTACACAGTACTGGTTCCTGACTTCCATCAGATGCACTCCGACTTGGAAGGAAACATGGATCCTATCTACGCTAGCCAGGCCCCATGTTGTGAATCTGTGTCCAGGCTGAGCGCGGAAAGGTATGGGCAGATCTTGACCAGTATGTGCTCTTTTTTTTTTTTTTTTGCACCAAGACATGTGGTTCAGCATCTCCGTACCCCGTGTTTATGATGTTGATAATGATGATTATGTCAGTGCCAAACAAATCATGAAGTTTTATTTACTGAAGGGAGTTGCATAAAGTTACTGTACTTTGCACAACAACCTGTAAACGGTTTCTTCGGCAGAAATGTTTCAAACAGGGGAAATAATCCTGTTTAAAATGTAAAAAGACGAGTAACTGTTGCATTATTCCCCTTATTAATACCGTGAGTTCAAACCATGTCCGCCATCCCGCTCTCCTCTATTTCCTATTTTCTGTTTCTAGTACCAATCACTTTTAACGTCCAACGAAGCACATTTCAACGACCTCCTGCCATATTGTCCCCATTCTTTGAAGCATTTTGCACACCTCTTCGCACGCTTATTCATTAATGGCAATATATACTTCTTTACTACGCTCTCCTTCTTGTAAATGTGTGTTTAACGTTTCCGAATTTTACAGTCTTACGCCCTTTTTAGGACGTAACTTTTTGTTTTTGAAGCCCCACTCTGGCTTTTGCCAGGGGCCGCAATATAGGCAGGACATAAATATGGCCAATTGTCTGAACGCGGTTTCTGGAACCTCTCCACGGTGATCCTCATCCACATGGTGGCACTTTGTGTTATCGGGTGTTTATCGCTTGTGTGATGTCCTGGTGGGGTAGAAAGTCAGTCAGTCAGTCAGTTTCCGAATTTGCAGTTATTCGCCGTTCTTTTTAGGGTGAAATTTTTCGTTATTCGAAGCCCAACCCTGGCTCTTGCCAGGGGCCGCAATATACCCCGGCCATAAATATGGCCTAAAGGCTCAACGCAGTTTCCTGGACCTGGGGGGGGGGGGGGTCCGCAATATAGCCAGGCCATAGATATGGCCAAAAGGCTGAACGCGGTTTCTGGGACCTCTCCACGGTGATCCTCATCCGCATGGTGGCACATTGTGTCATTGGGTGTTCATCGCTTGTGTGATGCCTTGGTGGGGTAGAAAGTCAGTCAGTCAGTCGTTTCCGAATTTTTCTAACTAGTCATCCACTTGTGAGATGCAATTTTTCGTAATTTTGAAGCCCCACCCTGGCTCTTGCCAGGGGCCGCAATATACCCCGGCCATAAATATGGCCTAAAGGCTCAACGCAGTTTCCTGGACCTCTCCACGTGTGGTTCTCATCCACATGATGGCACTTTGTGTCATCGGGTGTTTATCGCTTGTGTAATGTCTTAGTGGGGTAAAATGTACTACTACTACTAAGTTTCCAAACTGTACACAGCTCAATGGATTCTTGCCAAGTGACTTTCTTCTTCGCACTAACTGTTATGATGTCAGTGATGGATTTAGGTGTAAACTAAATAGGCTACCGCTTGGGGCCTGACTATGTGCATGGGTCTATCAAAATTCTTTCTTTTTTTTTTTCTTTCTTCTTTTCTTTCCACAAATCAACTTCTGATGATTTATTTTTAATGCTACTGGATTGCTTGTCACAGTGTGTGAGGCACAGTGTGTGAGGCACAGTGTGTGAGGCACAGTGTGTGAGGCACAGTGTGTGAGGCACAGTGTGTGAGGCACAGTGTGTGAGGCACAGTGTGTGAGGCACAGTGTGTGAGGCACAGTGTGTGAGGCACAGTGTGTGAGGCACAGTGTGTGAGGCACAGTGTGAACAACAGACAACAGACAATCACGCGCTCATTTTCAGGGGAAAGGCAAGAAGAACATATAACCAGATTACTACCGGTACCATTAGTACTGAAACTCTGCACTGGCTGCTGAAGATGAGGACGCAGCAGGCATGGGAATGCCCCGAGTGCTGTGATGTCAATTTTTGACAACTCAACTGAATGCAACTTTTAAAAATGTTTTTAAAATGTCTGTGATTTTGTAAGCACGGTCTTTATTTTTAAAAACGTATATCTTTTAAAGTTTTCAGAGATAAGCTGGTGTATTTGGAAACATACCGATGTATGCCTGGATGTCAATTTTTCGAGCACCTGTTGTCATGTCACACGACTTCGCATGAACGGAGGTAAGTCCATTTCAAATGCCGTTGCCATATCTTTATCAGTGTCCGAGTTAAGAACGAAGGAGGAAGAGGAAGAGAAGAAGAAGAAGAAGAAGAAGAAGAAGAAGAAGAAGAAGAAGAAGAAGAAGAAGAAGAAGAAGAAGAAGAAGAAGAAGAAGAAGAAGAAGAAGAAGAAGAAGAAGAAGAAGAAGAAGAAGAAGAAGAAGAAGAAGAAGAAGAAGAAGAGAAGAAGAAGAAGAAGAAGAAGAAGAAGAAGAAGAAGAAGAAGAAGAAGAAGAAGAAGAAGAAGAAGAAGAAGAAGAAGAAGAAGAAGAAGAAGAAGAAGAAGAAGGCAATGAGAAACAACAAAGAGAAACAACAAAGCAAACAGTAGATGAAAAGAATGAGGGACAGATGAAACAATACTAATAAGAATAAAGCAGCAAATAGACGCGGCAGAAGAAAGGGATGAGGAACAGACTTGAGAATCGGAAGACAAATGACCCTGGTGTGAGAAAACAAATCAGTTGAGTAGATAAATAAACTACAAACGGAAACATCTGTCAGTGATAAGTCTGGACTTCCCTGTTGAAGTCAGACACGAGAAAATGGAATCTAAGACTGCAAAACGTGACCTGGGCCCATTAGTCCTGTAGAGGGATCGATCAGCGGACACCAGGGGACGTCTGTTTCCAGAATCTAACGTTAGCTAACGCGTGTTCTTTAATGTACAGCTCACGTGTTCAAAATGTTTCAAGTTGATGACACACCTGTTAGACAAACATAGAAGTCCCATCTACTAGCAAACCAAATCGATTGATCGATCAGTTTGTCCCTCCGGGTTGCTGCTGAAAGGTTTACCACACCATCCTTAGATTAAAAAATCTGAATCCATAAGGCAGACCAACAATGTAGATTCCAGAAAGCCTGTTCAACCTTCAAAGAATTATGGCCCCAGTCACAGCTACACAGCCTGGTGTAGCCTGCAGTCCTACACCGGTAAAGACAACAAACCTCTTATAAGACTTACGGACATATTTATGCTCTACGTACGCATGACACACCTTCACACTGCAGCCGACATACTAATGTGACCTTCCTTGTGTTATTGTTGTGTAGTTAAGCCCATGACGAAAAAGGCCCGGCGGAAACGTCAATTTGTGTTATTTTGCGCACGTTTTTCTGCTTCCATGTTTTGTTGAGTTTTTCAGTCTCAGCTGACAGGATTAATTTCCAACGTTTGGACAGCTAGAGTACAGGTTGTGGGAGCTTACCAGAAATGAGGCGTCAAAATATAAATAAATTACAAGCATTGGCGAAAACAACAATCATATTTTTTTCGTAGCCCATA